AAACAATGAATGAACAACTGTATTTTTATTAAATAATGTTAACAAAGACAAAAATAAATAGTGTAATAAATATATTGTTAATTGTTTGTTCATGTTAGTTAATACATTAACACGTTAACAAATGACGCCTTATTGTAAAGTGAAAGATGAATCGTATTTTCATTGTCATTTCAGTATGAACATGTTATTTAGCAATGGGCTAAATAGCAGCTCATTGGCTAATAGCAGCAATGGGCTAAATAGCAGCATAAAAATGTGCTATGAAATAGCAGAGTTGGTGGATTTAGGCGCGAGAGTGCAGAATTCAGCACTCAACAAAACTCGGGCGTTTCAGCGATGACTCATCTGAACGCCTTTGATTGGTCATTGCATTAATAAACTCAATGGAATCGTATGTTATTGGTTGTAATGCTCATCGCTGTAAAAACAAAAAAAAATTATTTAGTTTTATTTGTTGGCCCTAATTTGCACAGTTGATTCATAATTGAAAAGACCTGACTCAAAAGAAAATTTCATTCAATAATTAAACATTGCTTTTTTTTTAGTGCCCAGGAATGGGGGGATGTGAAGATTTTCAGTGAACAATGACTTCTGGTCAACACAGAGCTATTATGTGCCTACAGAAGTGGTATGAACCACTTTTATGATGCTTTTGCATCCTTTTTGAAGTTTGAAAGCTCCATTCCCCATTTGGCCAAGTGACCAATTCCAGTCCATTACTAAGAAAAATCCATTAAAAAGTTTTGCTTTCATGTTTTGAATGGCATTAGGGCCCATAAATGGTGACAGCATTCATTTTTGGGTGAACTATGTGTGTTCTGAGAGACCGAGATGTTTTTTCCAAGCTCAGAGTAAATGATGTCATCTTCCCCTCATAAACAATACATAAACCTACTGTTCCTCAGCATAAAAGCCAAACGTATCTAAATCTAGCCCTCTCAGTCCAGCAGGGCAATGCTTTGAGATGGAGGGTGAAGGCCAGACCCTGTTGCGCTTCAGCGGGAGGGCCTGGTCGCTGCACAGCACTGCAATCATTTCAAAGTGGGTTTTATTGATGAGCACAAGGCTTCATCCATCACCCGCTATCTGCTGACAGACTGGCACTGACAGATGACCACCACTGTCCTCTCCTGAGTGGCCAGCTGGCGTTATGCCAGGAAAGCACCGTATGCTGACGGTAGAGGCCGAATCTGCGGCCCATCATGGAAGAGCAGTGGCAAGGAGTGAGTTTTGTGGGTGGTTCTGCAAACCTCGTGGAATCAATTTGTGCTGCTGTCAGCACAGAGTCTGGGGCTGCATTTACACTTGGCATCAACCTGTATCCGGATGTTGTCCACATGCACATTGAAAAGACAAGTGTAAACGCGCTTCTGATCGGAATGTTATCCGATCAGCATGTCCTGGTCCAGAGGTAGTCGAGGACGCATTGTGATCGGATTTCAGTGTAATGTAAACGCAATCCAGCCATCGTGTCTGCATTCGCAGGACGACATCACGCAAAACGCCGCCCCCTCTCTCCAGATCTGTCGGAAGACCAGAGCGCTAGTGAGACTCGTACATTTATTTTGATTTGTAAAATGTCCTGAGACTGAAAATAGTTTTCAAAAGAAAACCCACCACTTCAGTTCGACTTTGCACTGCAGACTTATTTAAATATTGTGCGAGAAATACAGATCCGATCGGTTATCCAGATCGAGAATTCAGCTGATGTTGCCAAATGTAAACACGCCGTGTCCTGATTGACTGATGATCCGATCTGCTTGATCCGATCACGGTGATCGCATGTTAATGCCAAGTGTAAACGCAGCTGCAGAGTAATGCGTCTTCACCAGTACTAGACTGTAACTTCCTTAACACACCTGGTATGAAGGGTAATCCTCTCATAGTCTCACACGGAGTCTGAAAGTTGACGAAAAAGGTGATTACAAATCCATTGTCATTGTCTTGGAAATGTAAACTTTGGATTCATGTTGGTTTCATATACGTTATTTGGGAAGAAAAAAATTAGACAAACATTTTAAAACAAGTAAATGTCAAATGATGTCCTACAGCAGGGATGTCAAACTCAATTCCTGGAGG